ACATTCAACAAATCAATGAAAAATCAATGAATTTCAGGGAATAAAACAACAATTCCTAACATCCAATGGGACATAGGCATGCATAAAACAGCTTTGTACAAAACACTTTCCCTTAATTGAATCACATTTTCAATTATTTTAAATTTTGTTTGGGAACAATTACCAACAGATCTTATAGTAATGTATAATAGCAAGATTATAATTGCAATGTATATGTTATAATATTTCATTAGAGCTTCATTAGATGCCTGCAGCTGGTGGAGCAACCTAACTGGGTAAAACAATCTTCCTGGTTTTATAGAAAAAACTAAGTTCAAGAGTACAGCCAGTTTACAAAGTGCATTCCCATTAGATCAACCATCACAAGTTCCTAAATTAATTGGATTTCTATATTTTCCAAACTGAGATTCCAATAATTTACTCTCCTAGCATCTCTTTAAAATCTTCTACTGTTTCATGTAGCTCTGCTGAAAAGCAGAAATAAATCTGAGCATTAACAAAACACTAATAACCCCACAATTCAAATTCTTTAGATTTTCTCCTGGTCCCAGCAATTATTCATCTAATCTCCTTAAACCTAAGTCTGAAAAAGCTGCTAGCTATTATTATCTCATCATCCTTATTTTTTTTTCGCCATTTTATCTTCAGCTCCACTTTTTGTCATCAGTATTATTCCTTACCTTCATGTGGAATTCATATTCAAAGAAAAAATATTTTGACCCAAGGAGATAAACATTATGGTAGAAAGGACTCCATTACTAGAAAATAAAATCTATGACTAAAAATAGGAAGTAAACAACCTGAGGAATGGGCCTCTATCCTTTGAAAATGTTAACCAACTAAAATAGTCTAACAAGCGCATTAAATTAAAATGCTCTCAGCCATTCCAGGCCTAGTTCTGTGGAGGTGAAGTGAATAATTGTATATTGAAGAGTGTAAGGCAAGCAAATTAGCCAGGTTTAAAACAGCGGCTTAGAGCAGCCGGAAGTCTTTTTACTTAAATCTTTTCTAATTTGTCACCCTACAGACATGTTGAGGACTACAAGTCCCAAGAACTCCCAGCCAATATGGCTCCAGGTTTACGGAATACTTTCTTTACAATCTTTCTCTGCTGTTCACTATTGGCAAGCTGATTGATGTTGACTCCATTCCAGGTGTTACATTTGCAAGGTGCAAATGGATATTTTAAAGATACAGATCAGAGGCAGAAAGATTTTAAGAAGTGAAAGAGATTCTTCCAAAGACCACTGACCTGGACACTGACCCTGACCTGGACACGGACCTGAACCCGGTTCTGGTTCCGGTTCCAGTTCCAGTTCCAGTTAGGATAAGGATTAGGGTACATGTTAGGGTTAAGGTTAGGGTTAGGATCCGGGTCAGGGTGTGTGTCTGGATCTGGGATTGGGGTCGGGATTGGGGTCGGTGTCCGGGACTGGATCCGGGTCCAAGTCAGGGTCTGGGTCAGTGTCAGGGTCCGGGGTCGGGGTCAGGTTCATGTTAGGGTTAGGATCAGGGTTCGGTTCTGGTTCTGGGTCGAGTGTCGGGGTCCGGGTTTGGGTGTGGTTTCGGGTTAGGGTTAGAGTGCAGGTTTGGGTTAAAGAGCTCTTCCATGGCCCCTTCTCATTTCCAGATTTCAGATGTAGCATTGAAAGATCCTACATGTTATAACATTCTATAAAAATATTAGAGATAATAAAGATTTCTTTCATTTATAAATAAACGTTCAACTTTTATTGTTGAAGCATTGGAATGTACTTAGAATGCTGGGTTAGAAATTGGAAATGACCATGTTCAAATTTACTCTCTGCCACAGTATCTCACCTGATGACTGTGGCACAGGTGCTTTCTTACTGCTTACCTCATAGAGTTGTGAGAAAAATTGGAGAAGTGAGCATCACCATGGATTTCTCGAGGAAACATATGGTGTGTTGCTACCAAGTGAAAATAATTATATAAATAACATAGCTCCCTAACTCCTGTCTGAATTTTGCCTCCTGGGTCAATTCTGTCTAATTCTGCTTTTCTTGATTGCTTCCCAATGTGATTTCAATGCATAATTTTCTAGGAAATTTATTTCTTACTAATGTGGAAGTAGGTTCATTAGGAGGAATGCATTGCTTTAGAACCTCCATGGAGGAATTTACTGCTTCTGGGAAGGTTTTTCTTCCTCCCTGTGATGTTTAGAAATGAACGGATTCCTTAACTACTTCTTTAATAAGTCATTCACCTCAGTTTACAAGATCCAAGTTCTGTTCAAGATCTTTCAGCACACAACATCATCATGTTCTGCTTTTATTACGGAAAGGAAGCTGCTGTCATTATTTGTACTGAATGCATGGCACAAAGTGGAGGCTGCCAGCTGCAGATTGCTACCATATGTGCTAAAATTCAGAGTATATTGTTTGAGGCACCTAGGTGCAGTATTTAAATAGTTTGCATTACAATCTCTAATGTTATCCCATTACACACAAGGACCTGGGCATTATGAGCATGATGGTGAATGGCACCTCCAGGAGCCAGAGAATGTCTTTTCTTCAAAACCATTAATAACTTTTCCCTTGCCATAAGCTTTCTGCCAATGGCAACATGCTCCAAATGTTTGAACTGAAGTAGCAACTAGTTGCTCTGCATCTCTTCCTGAAGTATAGCTTTGTTCTTTGCATCCAAGACTGACATCTCTCCCTTCCCCCCATTCTTCCCGCAGGGACATTTGAGAGTGTGAGTCAAAAACCAAGGTCACTCGTGCTTTGGGCATTACCTAGTTGGATCACTGCAACGTGTTCTACCTAGAGCTGCCCTGCAAAACCACCTACAAGCTCCAATTGTTTCAGAATGTAGCAGGACATGTAGTGATGGTTGTCCCTATGTTTACCCATGCTATACCTCTATTGCGCAGTTTACATTGGCTCCCACTTTCCTTCCAGATGCAATTCAAGATGCTAGTTTAAAGCCTATTTGTGACACAGGGCCAGGTTATCTGCAGGAGCACCTCTCCCTAAGGATACCTATCTGCACTACCTAGTCCCTTCCTGACTTAAACATTGTCATCTTATGGGATCTAGGGTGTCCACCTTTTCAATGGCAGCCTGCCCTATGGAACACCCTTCCCCCCCTGAGGTTCAGCAAGCCGCTACCCCTCTAGTCTTCCAAAAAGCATTTAAGAACTAACTTTCCTCTCAAGTGCTGGTGTAGCAATAGTAGCAATAGCAGTTAGACTTATATACCGCTTCATAGGGCTTTCAGCCCTCTCTAAGCGGTTTAGAGAGTCAGCATATCGCCCCCACAATCTGGGTCCTCATTTTACCCACCTCGGAAGGATGGAAGGCTGAGTCAACCCTGAGCCGGTGAGATTTGAACCGCTGAACTGCTGAACTAGCAGTCAGCTGAAGTGGCCTGCAGTACTGCACTCTACCCACTGCGCCACCTCGGCTCTTCCGTGTAGGGTGAAATTGATGGGAGTTTATGATTTGTGGGCTTAATTGATATATGTATTAATTGTACAATGATGCTCATTTAACTGTTGGTTGGAAGCCACCCAGAGTTCAGTATCAGATGAGTGGCTATATAAATGTTTAAACAAAGAAACAAACAAATAAACAAGCCAATATTGTGGCTAAACCCATGCATCCAAAATCATGTCCCCCTGTTTTTGAAAGCAACACATAAAAGGAGGTGGTTTTTTTATATATAGCACCACAGAGCAAACAAAGAATACAGTCACCATGTGCTTTACTACTCAACTATATAATTATAACAGGAAACCGGAAACTCTACTTAGAACAAAAGAGCATAGAGTATATACCATAGATCCAAACTTGTAAACACTGTCATCTACTGGCTAAATACTACTGTAGTTGTTGCATAAAATACATTCCAACAATGAATTCCAACACAAAGTCAATGGGAAAGCCATTATTATTAACAATAATGTTACTAATTTAACAACTTCAGTGATTCACTAAACAAATGTGGGATGAAAAGTCACAAAATGGAGCAAAACTCACTTAACAAATTTCTCACTTAGCAACATAAATTTTGGGCTCAACTGTGGTCATAAATTGAGGATTACCTATACTTCAGTATGACTTATAAGTCATCATCCTGATAAGCAGCTCTCTACTTCAGTTAAACCAATTGGACCACCAGATATCAGTTGGAAAAAGTTCAGAAGACTGTGAACTACTGCCATTTAGTTAATAATTAAATTAATAAATTATTTATTAATTTAGCATTCCATCTGGGATTTTGCATTTGTTATTGGTAAGTATGATAAAGAGGATTATAAAATGGAAGATAAACTTATTTTAATTCCATGTGTTCTGGTGTCCATTGAAACATTACACCAACATTTGTACACACTGATGTACGGTCCTGGGAGCTGAAATAAAAATAGCAGGGAATAAGAGTACCATATCATCTTTCTTTCAGGGACTTAAAGCTATACTTTGCCAATCTAGGGAGTGAATGCGACTGTTGATTTGTTCTTATTTGTTGTCCTTTCCTGATCCTTTTCCATTATATTAGACTTGTCAACTTATTGCCTACCACTTGTGTTAGACTATAACTACCGTAATCCTCAGCTAGCCAGGCCAATGGAGTTGGTTGGAAATTATAGTCCGACACATCTGGAGGGCACTTAAGGTCGATGCTTATAGCTGACTCTGCCACCTGGTGTTAGCCATTCATAAAACTTGAAAATTGATGTTGCCATCAGAAACAAGTATTTGTCAATGGTTGTCTGTGGATACTGATCATGTGTAGTTGTCAACTCCTATCTGTGAAGCAGGGGTTTAGGAGAAGTTTGATACTGACAAGGTCCGAAGAGCTTTTCGGAAAAGATAATTTGCTGCTTGATTTTTTTTTAAAGGCTTATTTTAATAATGTGGAGCAGCTCCTCATGTCTAATATTGTGATATTGCACACAATTCTGCTGAATGGTCAATTTCAACTTTCAAATCACAATCAAAACCATAAATTACAGGTTGTATTGTTTCTCTTACCTTAAGCTTAGACAGTAGAAGTTCATGATCATATAATAATTTTTTGGTCTCTTCTTCATTGCTGCCAATTTCCAATAAATTTGGAAGTGATTCAACTAACTGCAGCTGTACCCATTTGCCACACTAAAACAGAAATATAAGCAAATATTTTTTCTAAGCAGAATACAGTACATCATATTTTTGTACAGTAATTGGTTTGGACAGTAATAAGCTAAAATCAGCTTAAAGGATATAAAGCAGGAGGGTACTGGATGCATTGAGTGAAGAGGAATTGTCTTGGGAGGTATATAAAATTATATAATATAGTTAATGTATATTATATATATATAATGTTAAACATTTACTATCTTGTAAGGCATCTCATTAATAGCTCTCCAGGGCGGCATGCACTCTGTGAGTTGTGGGTTAGAACACCTGACATAAAGGATTATGAGCTGGATCTAAATGAAGTCATGCTTAGAGTAGAAGTATTTAAATAAATAGAACTAAGGCTACTAAATTACATGTTTATTTTAATAGGTCTAATGTGAACGTCACTATTTTGGATCAGCCTGGACTTTCCTTTGCAAGCCATAACAATATTTTACTTTTATGTATAAATATTTATTTATATTAAAGATGTTTGCATGTCACCACAATCAAAACCAAGTCTCAGTGGCTCACATACAAATATAATAGCACATAAACTTTAGCATACATAAGTTTCAACAGAGGAGATATGCAATGAATGCGTAGACTAAAATGAGATGGTGAAATAATTCTCATTAAGGTTTTAAATAAGCCTTTTTACTTCATAAAATGCAAATAGATATTCGCACCATGTGAGCGCTAATTATTTCCCTATACAGTAACATGATAATGATTCCTTTAGTTAATCAGCTTAGGTTAATGCACTTTTATAAACCGAATATAATCCTTAATAATATGGAAAACAAAGTTATAAATTCTCAGTGAAAGCAATCACAATCAGAGAAAAACTACATGCCAACAAAGATGTCCCTGCACACTTTTGCTGTGCTGTTTATTTAATTTTAGTCAATATGTCTTTAAAGAAAGCAAATTATTTATCTGGGATGATGCTTGATTGATTTTTAAATTCACTCATCAGAAAGCAAATTATTTCTCTTGAACGATGCTTGATTGATTTTTAAACTCTTTCACTCATCAGAAACTTGCAGTACATTATGCCGCTCCTTGGGGTTTTTCCTTCGGCAGCTCAGCATTTAACTTTTATACGTGTACATTTGAGCAGAGTACAGAGTACCAACCTAGCCCAGAGGTAGAATTAGGCTCTGTTCTGCTTACCTTAAGAAGAGCGATGACAATTCTGCAATCCCCAGCCTCAACCAGGACTGAACTAACAGTTGTTGTGGAAAGTGGCTCCTCGGGACTATTGTTGCTGGTCATGGTGTTGCCGTAGAACTGGGCTTCCTGCGAAAAAGGTTCCCCTCTGGCAGCTGGGGAAAGCTGCTGGTCATTGCAAAAAGGCAGCAAATGGGGTTACTTGGCTCCCTTCCGTCAAAGAGCTCAGCTAACACTGATTGCTCTGCCAAAAGGAAAGAACAGGAGGTTAAAAATAGACACCCCCCATTGAATTTATCTTTCAAGGCAGGGAGGGAGAGAGGGACGTGACACTCCTCTATTTTTGTAGTTTTTAACTGCTATCCATTTTTGCCCCCTATAAACATGGATCTTAGGTCTCTGTTTGCTCTGTTTGCTAATAGGAAAAGGCTACATACAGGGAGTGGGGGCGGAGGGGGGGAGAGAGAATAAAAATGAATGTTTCCTCAAGTTTCTGTTTATCCATGAAACGCTGTTTACAGGATGCTTTGAACTGAGCTATCAGAAGACCGTTCTAGAACAGCTAAAAGACAAGATCCATGCTTGCTTCCAAAGTAAGACTTCATTTTCAAACTTTGCCTCATGATCCCCCGTTATAAAAATATTCTACCATTCACAAAAAGAACAAGAATAGCATAGAGGCCTTCACAATTGAAGACTCTTCAAGGCAAGGAATTACTATTTGGTGATATGTGGAAAAACTTGCCTCCAGAAGTTGTGAAGTTTTTAAGAAGAGACTGGACAACCATTTGTCTGAAATGGTATAGAGTTTCCTGCCTGAGCAGGGGGTTGGATTAGAAGATCTCCAAGGTCCCTTCCAACTCTGTTCGGTTCTATTGTATGATAGCCACAATGAAAGAATTAAGCACACACACATTTGTTGTCATTTTTAGGGCTGTTTTATCTGGACCTTGGTTAAAAGTTGGATAAGATATCAGTTCCATTATGCTCTGGAGTAATCAGTGGTTAATTTTTGGGTGTTTTAATATCTCTAATTACTTTGAGACATATGAAGAGGAGGAGGAGAAGTCATTATATTATTACTGTTGTTGTTGTTGTTGTTGTTGTTATTGTTGTTGTTGTTGTTGTTGTTGTGTGGTTAATCTTTGGTGAGATTCACAGCCTTTGGGGCTGGTTGGTAGCTCAACAGCTTGAATCCTAACCAAGGACCTAGGAACTATTAAGGTAACGTCGGAGGATATAAGCTGTTCCAAGTAGGGTGTTTATTATTATTGTTGTTGTTGTTGTTTTGTTGTTGTTGTTCTAGAATTTCTAGGGCTCCTTTTGTTTTTTTAGAACATCATAAACAGACAATCAATTTAATCGTCTTTAAATATACCTTAAAGTTGCTTTCCCAGTAGATGCAGACTGAAGTTTTCTTGTGTTCCCCACCTGAAAAAAATAGTGCTTACATTTCATCAGTTTTAAAAAAGAGTGGATTTTACGAATGAAGGCTAATCGAATTTGGGTCGGTCACTGGGACCTGAGATTTACTCTTCCGAGCTTTTAGACTCATGCTGGAATCCTCTTCAGGGAATTTCCCTGTATTGAAATTACGTGCTTTGGGCTGTTCTGTGAGTCTTGTTTATGTGGTGCCTTGGCTGATTGGTGTTGATTTTTGAGTGGATTTTTGTTTCAGAACTTTCCTTCATTATAAGAAAAACATCCCACAATAACTTTATTGGATGCCTCTCTATTGATACGCTTCAAAACAAACTGATTCAACTCATATAGAATGAAATTCATTTATTCCATGCTGGGGAAATCAGAGACAGATTTTCATCAGGCTGCTAAAATCGATATATGTCCAGTCTATTACTAGAAACATAGAATGTGCCACAGGCAGCCCGCAGAATGAGAGAGCAGCTGCTTGATTCCCTGCACTAGGACAGCTGAGCAAATGAGACTAGTGTTTAGGCCACAGTCAATTATCAGAAATGACATTTTTAGAAAGTATGTTAAAATATGCCATACGTAGGTTACTCCAAAGCAATCTATAGAGGAGGGAGGGAGGGAAGGAGGGAGAATGAATAAGGACATGACTGACAAGGAAATCTTTACATACAAGGAAATCTTTACACACACACATATGCATACACACACACACAAATATATATATATTAGTGTCACAACCCCTGGTAAGCCCCAATTATGGGAGGAAGCTAACTGCTTCCAACATCTGTCAATCGGCTCGTCACAAGAGTCCATCACGACAGAAACCCAATATTTTTACTGTTGCCTTTGTTATATTTGTGTTTTTATTTATATATATAGTGTTTTTTATTTGTGCTGATAAATAAATAAAGGGAGACTAGTATAGATCTATTTCAAGCTATTTAGCTCTCATCAGCTAGCCATACCCTTACTGGGATTCGAACCTGTGCTGTATTGCATCTTAGGCAAACGTCTTAGCCATTATGCTAAGATATATTTATTTATCAGCACAAATAAAAAACACAAAAAATATAACTAGAGACCTATATATATATAGGTCTCTAGTTGTTCGGGTTTTCTCCCGCGTAGAATTGAAGATGTCTTGGCGACGTTTCGACGAAGTCACATTCGTCATCTTCAGGCTGCTGCTGACTACTTCAGGTTTGGTGTTTCCAGGAGTAGTGTGGGATCTTGGCTGTTTGTTCCTTATAACTGCTGGTAGGGGATTAAATTTTAACTGCCAGTAGGGGATTAAGTTTTAACTGCCAGTAGGGGATTAAAACTGATTGAATGGGGGCTTGGGTGTGTCTTGATTAGGTGGAAGTGTGTCATTATTTGGTGGAGGGGTGTTCTGTTCTGATTGTTTGAGGGGTTGTGTTTCCTGTGAGGGTAGGAGGGGTTTTGAAGAGGCTGATTGTGCTTTAGCAGTCTGGCTTCTGGTTCTGGGTCGTGCCTCCTCATCAGTTTGTGTTTTTGGTTGTTTTCTTTGTGGATGTTTTTTGGTAGTATTCTGTGTGGCTATTGTGAGTGTGGGCCTGGTCTCATTCTTCATGTTTGGGATTCGTTTGTTAATGAGGGCGGGTTTCCAAGCACAATCAGCCTCAACACCAATATATATATATATACACACACACACACATACATACACACATACATACACACAGACATACATACACACACACATACACACACACACATATATACATACATACACACACGTGTGTGTGTGGTAATTGAGGTTTGATACTGGTTGGCAACACATGAAGCACAGATTGTTGTCACTAGATAAATTACCATATTGTACATGTTTCTCAACAAAGAAAAAAAATTGCAATAGTGATGGAAATGACCCAGGTTTTGTTCACATATGCACATCCATCAGTTGAGTACTAAATACTCATATTCATCACATAAGGGTCATAATCCTCTAATTTACAGGCCATCATAGGTGTCATACCCCAGAAGTGTCTTTTCACAGTCCTTCATTTTATTGCAAAAGCAAGTCTTCTCATTGTAGCTGCCAACATCAATCAAGTCAGAGAAAGCAGAGGAGGGGAGGGAGTTACACACCTGCAACATTGTATGCATCAACTGGAATCCGCTTCACTACATGCAAAGCAAAACCAAATGGTTGATTTGTGGTTCTATGTTGATAAGATTTGGGGTGGGGGGTGTTGCAACCATTTAGGAGGGGACCTATTTCTTTGAGCCAGCCTTAGCTTTTATAGACTCTGCTTTTGCATCATGCATTTGCTTGAGGTCCCATCAATCAAGCAATGTCATCTAGCAAGACCCAGGAGGTGGGCCTTCTCTGTTACAACACCTGCATTATCCTCCTGGAAATTCATAAGCCTCTACCCTTTAGCTGTCTTAAAGCAAGCCTCAAAAGCCTGACTCTTTCTCCAGACTTTGGATTAAGATGTTTGGCAAGCCCCTTTAAGTTGTAGGTGATGTCATGAGAGGAACTTTTAATCTTCTCTCTTGTCTGGGCGACTACATATTTCTTTCTATAAAATGTTTTTTGTTCTTGCTTTTTATCTTCTGAAGCTACTCAGAATGAGTTTGGAGTTGTGCAGCCTGGACATTTGATAAATAATAAATAAATAAGCCACAACATTTGATGTGCATATCTATATTTTTAAACTTGGAAGTCGGATGATCTGGGTGAGTTTCAAAGCACGAATTTATCTTTGCTGGAATGAATGCAGTGGTTTTCTGTTTAGAAAGACGTTTGCAGGCGTCTACTAATCTTCCATTTCTTTCTCTCTACTCATAGCCTTGCATTTCTTCATTGTTGGGATAGAGAGTGGATTCCTGAATAAGATCTGTGTTATATATGTGTGTGTGGGGCAGTGAGTGGTGGTGGGTAACTAACTCAAAAACATGCAGGAAGGCTTTTGTAAATGTTTTTATTACATTTGTTTAGTTATCCACAATATTTAGAAATTGCTCCATGCAACTGAGACAAAGCAAAAATAAAGCAGTCAAACCACCACTAACTAGAGTAATACAATGAAAAAATAATAAGACACCCTCAGCTGTCCAAGGCCAGAATCACTCTGTATAAGATGTTCTTAACAGGTTTGTGAAATGCAAGGAGAAGTGTATTTGTATGTGGCTGTGAGTGTGGGTGTGGGTATGCCAGCTTATTCCATGGTGTAGGGGCTACTACTAAAAAGACCTCCCATAAGGCGCATGAACCTCTTGCAGGGGAAGCGAGCAGAGCCTCCATAAGCTTTTTTTTTTCTAGATGTTCAGACTGAAGGAACAAAGTCAATCTGAGCCAGGCATTTCCAGAGGTTTCCTGGTGTTTTGCTATATGTGATCTGGCTTGGGATAACTTTTATTTCAACCCAGGATTTGGGACCTGGGTAACTTTGAAATGGCCTATCTTGGATAGATTCTGCCCACCTAATATGTGAAAATGGAGGTCTTCTATATATTCAGGTGATGTGACGTGGTGGCTCAGTGGCTAAGACGCTGAGCTTGTCAATCAGAGAGGTCGGCAGTTCGATGGTTCGAATCCCTAGCGCCGCGTAATGGAGTGAGCTTCTGCCAACCTAGCAGTTCGAAAGCATGTAAAAAATGCAAGTAGAAAAAATAGGAACCACCTTTCATTCCATGCATCTTCATCATTTAGTCATGCTGGCCACATGACCATAGAGAGGTCTTCGGACAGTGCTGGCTCTTCGGCTTTGAAACCGAGATGAGCACTGCCCCCTAGAGATGGGAACGACTAGCACATATGTGCAAGGAGAACCTTTA